GTGAAGGGGAAAATAAAATATTTGAAAGCATTTTTAGTGTTACAAAATTTTTAGCCATCTTTTGACTTAATTTTGTTCAATGTTTAAAGTTTTTAAAATAAATAAAAAAAAGCTGTTGATTTGCTATAGCTTTAACTTTAGAATTGTATTAAATATATTTACTAAACTACTAAATCAATTATGATTACCCGGTATAAACTGAACAGTAGAATTCACCATCAGTAACTTGACCTGAAAATTCAGTTTCCCAACATGTTTGTTTACTGCCAACAAACTCTTTGCATCAGACAATTCATTCAATTCTGACATTTATCGACTATTATATAAAGTCTGTGTTTTGTGTAACTTCCCTACTACTTTATCCAAGCAAGTGTAAAAATGAATTGAGGTTTACCTTAATGTATTAGCTAATAAATGCTAATTATTTTCATGATAATATTATTTAGAAAAAAAAGCATTGACCCAACAAAACCATTCATATGACTTTAAGAGTGGCAAGGAAAATCTAATCTTGCCTGCCGACCAAAAGCAAAGATACAGAATTGTACTCATTTGAATCACCTACAGTTACCAAAGTTATTTGATCCCAACTATCCTCAAATAATTGTCATAAGTTGTGATGTAAATCGATTTTGTGTCCAATGTGCATTACCAGATGAAGACAGAGTCAAGTTAAATTAACAATATGAAAAGGGACATGCCAGAAAATATATGCAATGAGCTAAGCAGTGAGTACTTGGCTCAAAATGACGCCACAAGTGAGAGGTGGCCGACTGCATGAATTTGTGATATGGTTTGATAATTGAAAGAGATTTTTCAGCTTAACTTTTTGATAAACTTACTCCATGCTTTAAGATTACATTTAAAGAATACTGTCTGCCAAAAAAATCCTTTGGGTATGTTAGTCAGTGGTTTAAGTTTAATGACTTAGGGGTTGGATAAGTTTGAAAAAAGTCTGCTAAAATGTGTACACACCAAGTCTTGGGTAAGCTTATCAGTACAGTGATAGCCTTTGCATTGTACAAGTTTAAAAGTTTAACTAAAAACCAAATGGGTACACTCTTGCATAAGTTTGTTGAGGTAGCCCTAAGCCAAGCTTGTGCTTTAAAAATAACACCCCAAACCATAGCATATTTATTACTAAACATGAAACTCTTCCACAAAACAGATTTTATGAAAATCCTGCAGCAATCGACATTTTTAAATGACTATGAATGTACCATTAACATTCATTTAGATGAAATCTCCTAAAGATGAGCCTTTATAACCAGCGATATTTTCCAAAACTTAATGTTGTACTTTGAAATGTACGATAGCTTTAAAAATGTATCAATTATACACAATAGAAATGAAGGATCTGCTGATAATATTTGCTAATCTTTTTTTTTTTTTTTTATTAAAATATCTTTGGACCAAACAGTAGAGCTTTCAGGTGTTGAATTAAAAAAAATTGCCCACCTCAATTTGAATCTTGTCTAATGTTTAATTATGCAAAATTGTCCACCTCAATTTGAATTTTAGCTTCTTGTTTGACTGATGTGTGCTCTGATTTACATTTATACCATACAGCAAATGGTATAAAAATGTGTAACATTCATCATGTTCGTTGTCTTTTGTGTTTGTATTTCATTGACGAAAATAACAGTTAAGTGCCATCTAGTTGCTCTGTTTAAGATCATAATGAGATGGGGGCAAGCAAGTTATGAATGTCAACATATTTATTTATTTGGAATATAAACAGAAGAAGAGAAACAATGTTTTTATTATATTTCTTTAAAAAAATCCTTTTGTAAGCCAACCCTAGTCTTACACTTACACAAGGTTTTCTTTTTCATATAAACAAGAGCCTATTTAAATAAAACGTTTTGCACATAGTTTTGATCGTAACAATTTTACGTTTCAAAATATTGGTGTTTTTTTTTGTTGTCACCTTACAAATTATGTTTATGGTCAATATTGAAATGCATAATGTGTATGTAGAGAAAACAGCACATATGCTGAAAACAGCACATATGCTGTAGCCAGCAACATATATTTTTAAATATCTAGTTTATTCTAGGATTTTCTCCTGATTTGTAAGTATACATTATTTTTTATTAAATTTTACTGTATGGAGCAGATGAGACATGTTTCCTATTTGGTCCTTTGTTAAGATAAAATATAAAAACAAGTGTACAAAGAAGACTCTTTTGTTACGGTATTTGTTTTTGTTTGACCCCAAACAGGATCATATGAATAGAAGTACAAGCATTTGAGACAAAAAAAACCCAGATTTTTTTAAAATGAAAAAACAATTTTTATTTTTATAGAGAAAGTTACAGTAGAAAGATATATTTTCTTCTTTGTATATTTATTTCAAAGAAGAAATTTTAAAATCTGGATTTTTCAATTTTTACTTTTATTTACCAGGTACATTTTCTAAAACTTGTAATAGTAATATTAACATGTAATTTAACTACACATTTTTAAGTAGAGTTTTTGGGGTTTAATTTGAGTTGGATCTAAATTTAAGTGATTAAAATATTTAACAAATTTGTGTCCCGTACCCAATTTTGACTCTGTAACTGTAATCTGTAGTTCCTCCACATCTAACTTTAAGGAAGGGCTCAACTCATAGTTTTGAACTGTGAAAATCCTCATTCTTGTTAGAGCGACATGTTTTGTATTAGATGTGAGGAATCAATTTATTTTCATACTGAAACTAGCTAGACCAACGCTTACATCCTGTATTCATTGTTTCACCCTTACTTAAAATGGGTGAGCAAAATAAAATTTAGGATTGTATTATTTTTTCCCATTATAATACCATATAATAAATTTGCTTTTTAAATAATCTATATTGTGTTCTGTTATAAATAGTATAACTATAACCTCAAGTATATAAGTGTGTACATGTTATTTATTCAATCTGAATCTTGTCTATTTGACATCTTTCAATTATGTTGTCCACAACTATCTCATTTTAACTGGTGCTTATGTTGTTATATTGATATTGCCAATTCATTTATTGTTCTATCAATGTTATATTTTAGCTCACTCTTTTTTTTTGTGTTAAGTTCTAAAAATTTATTTGAATTTGACAGTCATATTGAAATCATTTGTGGAATTGCTTTATGATTCATATAATTTATTTACGGTACTTTTACAATCCAAAAAGCATCATTTGTAACTGTAATGCAGTGGAGCTTAACTTAACATAGAAAATGTCTAGACTTTGTTATTTGTTACTTGCTTAGGACAATAGGTTAGATAAAGTAATAGAATTAGAATCTAGCCAAAACATATACCCGATATAGATATATTTTTTAAAATGGAAATAGAATGTAGCTGGTGTATGTTGGACAAAGTGTAAAGAATCTAGTAGTAGTAGTATAGATGAGTTTTGTAATTGTAACTGAAAATTTTTTATTATTAAAAGAGAAAAAACACTTGCAATTTGGATAACAATTTTAATGGTATAGAAGTTATACACCTTAAAGTCATTGCAATATAAAATAAAGTCCACATGAAATCCAACATATTCATGTAATTGTAATATTATTATCAGATACCATAATTTGTGTTTATCTAACACATGAAAATTTAACCAAGAATCGCTGCCTTCAGGAATAAGTCACAATGTGGCACCTCTTCAAACCCCACTTACACACACACAAAAACGAATGGACACTAAGTTATTCTGTGATGTCATTGGCTATAATTTTAATAATTTTCAGTGTACTTCTTAGCTTACAGTACGTACTTATTTATATCTTTAGTTTACAATCGAAACTTCTTAATGCTTTGTACTTACTGCAGGATTAATTTTGGCTTACTGTACAACATTGAAGTTTTGGGGTCTTTTGTTTCCAATGTTAAGTAAGATTTGATTTTGTTGCTTGGAAACTTAGTTATTATTATTCTATCAATACAATCTGACAGAACCAATATGAGGAATTTTCTTGTTATTTTATTGTGTCATATTGTATTCTGTCAGTTCACAATTGAAAATCAGCTTTGTCTAGAAATATAATATTTATGCACCATTGCGTCTCAACAGGTGGCCATCAAACATTATACATAAGTATATAGGAATCAAACACTTAAAGTACACACAAATCAAAGCTTTTTTTTTTTAGTGTAATTTGCTAGAGTTCTCATGTAATAAATATATTCTGTAATATGATGCGACCAAACCATGCTTTTTTTGTATTAAACCATAAGCAATGAATTTGATATATTACTATCAACAAAATGATTTAGTTTCAAAAACAAAATACTGATATTTAAATACAATTTCTCTCAAGACTAGGTCTGTATAAACAAGAACATTAAATCTTCTCATAATCAGTGAGGTTTATAAAATAATTTTCCATTTCCTATGCAATGATGTAATCATAAGCTGGGCAAATAAACTGTGACACAATAGAATCACACTAGTTTATCATGTATCCCAATAAACCGCAGCTTTAAATAAAAAATGAAACTTCCGTCCACTTCAATTAAAAGCATTCAATGAACTGCAATGCTACAAAACAAATTTAAGCTTACTTGATTTCTCCTGAAATTCATTATTATAATTTGTAAACCACTTAAACCTCAATTTAGAAATATAATCCTTCATTATTATTGACATATAATTTTTTTTTTAAAGACTTCTAGTAGGTTTATATTAAGAGGCTAATATTTCATGGTTGGTGTCATTCTTATAATCTCCATATTTAACAACATGATTGAGACAACAGAACAAAAATACTTTTCATAAATACACTTATTAATTTCAGTTTTTTTCCCAGCAGAAATAGATTCAAAATCATTTCCCCCTTTAATTTGAAACATAATAACCAGTTATACTGTCACATAAAATTATGTTTCTCCCACAAAATGATGATAATCGGTTGCCATTAAGTGACAACATATTTCCCAATAAATGAGATATGTCAAAAGACATGTCCTTTAATAAAAGTATGCCCTCTATAATTGTTAGAATTTATTTCATATTTAATTACAATTTTTCAAGTTCAATGCGATAAACCTAGAATTTGGAAGCTCAACAAGAACTTTTCTAAATGCTCCAAGTCCACTTGATCATGGAATGGGAACCAAGCTGCAGGTAGATGAGCGGTGAGCTTTTCAATGATAGGCTGGTGTTTATCAAACAACAGCTGGCTGCCCTTCTCAGACAGGTGAAGACCATCATCAAGAAGCACAGTGAAATCCTGCAACAGATATTTTGCACAATTACAGGAATTACACAACAAAAGTATTTTGATACCTTACAAAAATAGTACAAATATTTTAATAGTTAATAAAACATATATTTTGATTTTTAAAAATTAGTGAATGCAGCTTTAAAATTAAAATAACATTTTTAATTTTCAATATTCTGACCAGATAAGAGCCAGAATTAATACTGTTGTTAATATGCAACATAAAGATATTGTCACAATAGCGGTTGGTCTGATTAACATGCTTCAAACTAGCTCTCATCCAAAATTAGCAAAGTAGAAATTATGATTCAACAGGGACAGCATACCTCAGTCTTCATCATCTCAGAGTAAAGATCAACGTTCTTAGTCCCCATTTCATGGGCAACTTGGCAGCAAGCTTGGGCATAGATCTCTGTGTTTTCATTGTTCTTACTCAAGACTTTACCTTTACAAATCAAACATTTATAACATCTTTTAAATAACCATTTATTGCTGGTGAGGCAACTAATACTTTGAAATACCATACAGAAAACATTTATAAAAAATGTATGTTTTTCACTCATGATTACCAATATGACCTTTGAGAAAAGTATCTGCCCAGCCATAAGCTCACCTCTCTGTTTACCAGGAGTCGTTTCATAATGTGTTTTTCACTACTTTTTGTCCCCACCATCTTGCTTGACAATTCACGTGTCGTGTCAACCAAGATGGCCACCATGTTGTAAAACCCCGAGACGATCTCTCATAATTTACCTCTTATCTAACAGGCATATCTTAAAACAAGCCAATGCTACATTTTTGCCGCGGTGTACCAGGCCTAAATCCATGGGTTTGCTCGGTATACTGCCATGTTGTATGCAGGCCTAGGCCCTTGGTTTTGCTAGGTACATCACTGCGGTGTGCGCAACCACTTCGATTTTAAATATATCCCTATCACTAAGAAAGATAATAATAATAATAAGTGGTCTTATATAGCGCGGTACCCCGGCCTAGGGGTACTAATGCTAGTTGTGGATGCCACGACGTCTTTTCAGTGTTTATTAAAGTTGCTGTGAATTAGGGTTCAGGTTAGGTTTAGGGATACATTTAGGGTTCAGGTTAAGTTTAGGGATACATTTAGGGTTCAGGTTAGGTTTAAGGATACATTTACTTATATTTAGTGACAGAATTAACTAGTCTTCTCAACCAAGATGGTGGCCAATCATGGCTTCCTCTCTCAACATTTACCCTAAGAAACCAAACCTGAACCCTAGATCTATCCCTAAACCTAACCTGAACCCTTTGACGTATGGCCAAGAAACGCTTTTAACAACAAAAATAAATGAAATTTTCAAATGATAAAAATAAAAAAATGTTTACTCACTCTCAATGACTCTCATGAATCTGAATCTCGTAATTGGGGAGGATATACAATTTTTATGACATTTAAAAACTCTCGCATCTGATCTTTACTGCCACACGAGCGTCGCCACATATATTCAAATAAATATGAGTTGAACTGCTCCTCCCCAGGACAGGTTCTCGTGGGCAGAGATCTTTTAATTGCACTCCAAGTGCCCTCTATGGTGTTGGTGTGCGCGCCCATTTCAGAGTGTTTGAACTCAATTGAATGGTTCACTGTCAGGTGGTGAAACCCTTTGTCCTCTAAACAGTCGTAAGACCCCAAACAATCAGAAATGATCGTGGTCCCTGGCTGCACAAATTCCTTAATTATTGCCAGGAGGACGTCTTTACCACCTTTCTCAACAACCCTGAAAAAGGATTTCTTTGATCCTCTTTCGATCCCACCAAACACCCATTTTCCTTCTACCCGTTTGCCTCTATGATACTTTCGCTTGCCGAATTTGAATTCGTCAATCTCCACAATTTTACCCACTCCGCCTAAGTTCTCACTGGACAAAACACATGCTTCCACACAGACCTCGCGACAAAGGCTCACCCAGTCGGTTACTGTACTGCGATTAACACCTACTTCTGTTGCAATATTTCCCAAAGGCATGTTTTTAATCCAAAAGTGTGTCAATAATAGAATGTCACTTAATGTCAATCTACTGTCACTAAACCACGATCCCTTCCTTAAACTACGCATACTTTCATGGAATGTGTCGCGACATCTCCATACAAACCCATCTGAAACAACCGCTTTTGCACAAAATTTCATGCCCTTCTTACAAACAGGACATTCGTACCGGTCTGCAATGAGACCATCATTCATGACCCAATCAATCACACTCCTTTCGCCCTGACATTCCAGACGAATCCAAAAACGGGCGGTAAATTCAGCCTCCATCTGCATAAATTTACCCAAAATTTATCTAAATGAAACAAATTGGCGATTCAAAATATTATCAAATTTCGAACTTACCGCGATGTGCGGGCACCCGGAGAAGCAATCGAGATGAGCACACCTTTATCTATATTCTATATCCGAATAATTTCGTAGTACCCAATACAAAAAAAAATAAATATTTCTATATTATTTAATTAATATTTCCAATATGCTTCAATTTCCAAACGCTTGGAATAACATTTAAAAGCAAAACGGCAAGTAATTATTAACATAAAAATAAACTATTATTTTCATATCCGTTAATCATTCACATTCACATATCATTAATATCATTATCATGAACTTTTTTTGACTTTGTTGCAGCAGTTCAATGTTGATATAAAAATAAACGTAAATTTTAAACTAATAGATTAAAATTGTATGTCTATCTAAAAAAAAAAAAAAACTTTTTATTTTACCATTTATATAAAAATAACTTCAAAAGAACAAAAAAGCAATATTTAGCAAACCTTTCTTGAGCGTATTAATACAAATACATAAAAACATCGAATAAATTTAAATGCGCAAAAAATATATTAAAGCCGCTTTTATTTTAGTAAACGTTGAGTATTATTATTATAAATTAAAAATACAGTTAAAGTATCAACTAAGGAACTATTTTAAACATTTTATATGTGTTTAAAAGTTATGAAAATTTTTTTTTAAATTTAAAAAAATCATGATCAAAGAATTACACCGTAATCACATTTATCGGGAAAACCCAATAATCAGTCGTTTTTAATGCGTCTTTTAGTGCGTTCTTAATATTGCGAAATAAATTTTAAATTAATTTGTTCTAAATAATCACGAAAATGACGCCCTAGTGCGAATAGCCTATTTCGGCAAAAATCTTAGTTTCTTTAAATTTAATAACCATGCGTGACATAACCGATAATGTATGTTCCCTTCTTAACAGTAAAATTAATAAATACAATTGATTGCTTTTTAAATTGTTAATAAAACACACACACACATTTTAGTTGTGTATATTTTAACATTTAAAAAGTTTTGCCCTTTTTTATTCCAAAAATATACTTTTATTAAATTTATAACGTAATAACAACTAACCTTTAAATATAATTCTAATAAGAAAATGCGGTTGAAGTCAATGAGTGCAGCCCAACTCTATAGCTAAATAGCATTCACTAATCCACTTATAACTCAGACAAATAAGAACGAACCACATGAAGTGCAAAATATGTTATTTTGGGTATGGAAGGGACTACAATCCGGTGGAATATTTTCTAAATTTATTTAAATCTGAGTGAGGAAGGGGTCACTTTGCCCCAGACAGCACAAGATACGTCTCAAAATAAAGGAATGAATTTGATAAATAATTAACCCTCTTGGGTACATTAATATCGGAGGTATGAAATAGGATGTGTACATCTTTACGAGGATGACTATATTTTTAATTCTATGGTATTACATTTGTGAAAAAAGATATGCTACATTTTCTTTTTACAAATATGGCTATGTTCATTTTGTCCAAGGCAGCACAAGATACATCTCAAAATAATGGAATTATTTTTATAAATAATTAGCTTTCTTGGGTACATACATATCGGAGGGAGGAAACAGGATGTGTACATTTTTACGTGCATGACAATATATTTAAATCCCTTGGTACTACATTTGTAAAAAAAGAGATGTTGCATTCTCTTTTTACAAATATGTGTAGGCCTATGTTCATTTTGTCCAAGGCGGCACAAGATAAGTCTCAAAATAATGGAATGGATTTGATAAACAATTAATTTTCTTGGGTAAATACTTGTCGGAGGTAGTAAATAAGATGTGTAAATTCGTATGTGGATGACAACAGAGTTAACTCCTATGGTATTACATTTGTGAAAAAATATGATGTTACATTCTCTTTTTACAAATATTGGTATGTTCATTTTGCCCAAGGCAATAAAAGATACGTCCCAAAATAAAGGAATTAATTTGATTAATAATTAACCTTCTTGGGTACACACATATCGAAGGTAGGAAGAACGATGTGTACATTTTTACGTGGATGGCAATATATTTAAAGCCTATGGTATTACATTTGTGAAAAATTTAAATTCTCTTTTCACAAATAAACATATGTTTACCAATTAAGAAAATCAATGACGTTAACAAATCTTGGGTACATTTATTTAAGTATATCCATGAATATCAAAACCCAATCATTTTACACGATTTTATTAAAATTTTACACAAAATTAAATTTTGACAAATGAAGATGGGTTAATATTTTCTTTTTTTTTTAATGAAAATCTATTTTTATTGTTTATTTGTGTTACGACCTTGATTATGCTTGACGTGTTACGGCTCTCTCTTGCTTTGTCTAGGGTGCATGACTCTCACATAAAACGCAAAGGTCCCATGTAACAATATATATATATATAGAATGTTTATTAGATACTTTATACAACAGGATACACTTCACTCTAACTCTTAACTGACAATCCTCTGACTACTAACAATTCTCTTGCTCTCTGACTGTCTCTGTCTCTCCCTGTCTCTCACTCACTGACCTCTAGCTAACACACATCCCTTTTATAATACCACCCAAACAACTCAGCCTACGCCAACGTTCCACCCCACGGACTAACTTTCATGCTCTGACCCCACGACCAACAACTCACAAAACACTCCCACGATTAACGACTCCCCCTACCCAACATTCACAACAAACCAGTTCACAACAATTTGCAAAAAGTAAAGAGGTGTGTACTCGACCACATCTTGTTAGGGTCAAATGTAGGCAAAGAATTTGTAACATCCACAATAAACAAAATAGAAGAGAAAAACCGTACAATAGTCAGAAAATGAGTAAGGACCCAAAAATTACTGAGGAATATCAACAGAAGATTGAAACCCTACTAGAATTATCCAAAAGAGAATCAGCCAGCAACGTTGATATAAACCAGCAATGGGAAAAGATGAAGCAAATAGTCACAAGTGTAACAGAGGAAACGATTGGAATTAAACCAGCAGTGAAAAGAACAGGATGGTATGACGCAGAATGCAAAGAACTTATAGAATAAAGAAACAAAGCTCGGCTAATTATGCTGCAAAGGGAAACAAGAAGAACGCGACAATTATATAATGAAGCAAGAGGATTGCCAGCAA